ACTGGAGCTTTAGAACAAAATGAAGCAGGTGAAGTAGGTTAGAGTATCCTAGGAGACACATAAGCTGATGGAGTGAGGAGAGGCAAGGGCAATGGGAAGCATCCGAGTTGCCCAATCAGAAGGTTGAACATCCATCACTGTGAAGGCAGAAAACCAGGCTGCAAGGTTGTACATGCCAATGTGCTTTGGAAAGAAAACCAAGGATGAATCTGCCCTGTCTTGTTCATCTACCCAGGATCCTCAGCCCTTTCCCAGCAACAAACATGAAAAAGGCTTTTCAGATCTTTCTGATGAAGTCCAACACTGCTGGAGGTGAACATTTAAGAGATTTTCCCTATAAAACAGGAGCCAGGTGGTGGTGGCACACACCTTAAATCTCAGCACCTGGGAGGCAGAGGCAGACAGATCAGATCTCGGAATTCAGGCCAGCTTGGTCTACAGAGAGAGTTTCAGGACAGTCAGGGCTACAAAGAGAAACCATGTCCCGACCCCTCTCCTCCCCCCCCCTCAAGAAAAGACTGGAGTTAGGACATGAATGAAGCTCATTTTCCAAAAATGCTTAAAGCTTAACTGTCTTCGAAGGGTTTTAGAGATAGATTTTAACATGCTTTCAACAAACTGGTTTTTCCAGTCTTTGAAATTATAAAGGTCTCCCAGGAGCAAGTGAACATCAGATTTGCTACCTCTTGAAAACCTAGTACCATGCTACTGAGAAGAATTCCACAGAACTGATGGCTCTGTAGTAGGAAAAATAATGGCCACCCACAAAAGTCTACAGAGAAATCCTCAGAACCTGCAAGAATCTTACAATAATATGACAAAAGAAACTTGGCAGACATGGTTCATATAAAGACATCATCTTAGATGATGGTCAGAATAATCTAACCAAATGAAAACTTGGAATTGAAGCATCTTTCTTTCTTGGGATCAGAGAAAGAGGAGAGGGGGCTATGTTGCTGGTTCTTTAGAAAGACTGAGTTCACAGTCTTTAAAAGTTGAAGAAGGCAAAGGAATGTTTCTTCTCTCAGACCTCAGGAGGAATGCAGCTTCATTAGCACCGCCATTTTGTCCTGGTGGTGCACACTAATCCTGGGCAAGAGACAGGAGGGTTGCCACCGGTTCAAAGCTGGCCTGGCTTACTCAGCCAGCAGAAAATTTAGGACAGCAGAATTTCCAAGCAAAAAGAAAAAACAAAAAACCGCCTCAAAAAGAAAAAGAGTTCTGACCTACAGAGTTCTAAAATAGTTGTGTTGCTGTTTACAGACATTAAGTTAGTGAACGTTTGTTAGAGGACATTGCAAGAAAATCAATACTGTACCCACCTGCCGGAAAAGCCTGTGACACACACATTGCCTTAGCCTGTGAACTTATATCCTGAGAATAAACAACCCAGCACAGAATCTACGGTTGCCTGCTAAATACCAGTTAAGATTCACAATGAGACGAATGGCTGTGCAGGGTAGTCTCCAGAACCAATGCTCTCTCTGTGCTTACAGATCGCACGAGTGAATTTTGACCTCTACCAAAGCAGTTTTATCAGAGACACATGTAGTAAAATTTCAGGCAGAAAAATCTGCCTCAGAAAAGTAACAGCTCTTTTTACAATACAGTTCAAACTTGTTTTCCACATCTGGTATTCAAATTGGACATTTGATGACATGCAAATGTACAAAATGGAATCACGAATTGCAACAGTCACTGACTGATCCACATGTAGCAATATTTCCTAAAATGACACCCCCCCTTCCTGCTTTGCTATGTAGAGCAGGCAAAGCAGGGCTATCCTTCCTTTGACTGTTGCAATTGATTAAAGGAGTGTACCACGACAGCTTTGGATGGCATGAAAAACTATTCTCAATGGTGGTGTCTTCCTAAAGAAGACTTCAAACAGTGCTCTGAGTTGTCAGCCATAAGCCTTTTTATTATTATTATTATTATTATTATTATTATTATTTTTTGCAGAAGCCCTCTAGAAAGCATAGACATGTTCCATACTCCAGTCACCATTGAGTTGCTGGCGTAGCTTGTGTCTGAGTTAACAGCAAGAAAGCCTGTCACATGTCACAGCATCTAATTCTCTTGATATCTTTTAAAAACTATTTAATGGATAAATCTATCTTTTACAAATCTCTAGATTCTGTTAAAAAAAAAAAAAAAAGCCATTCTTCTTCACGCAGGTTTCCATTTGAGATTAAAGCCCAGCTTCTTTGATGCAATGAAAACCTTACAATTTAGGAACCACCTTTTAACTCAAAGCACTGGCCACCCAAATAGTAGCTCCTTTAATTTGACTTCCTCAATCTATCCCTGTAGTTGAATCAGCAGATTTCACTGAAAATCCTCAGGATGCCCTCTGGACACAGAGGAGAGGTTCTGGAGAGATGTTTCATTAACATAAAAACAACAAACAACAGTTCAATGTACAGCTAAATTTCCCTATATTCGGAGGTAACCTTAAATATCTTTGGTTTTTTAAATTTCTTTTTAATTTGCTGATATAAAGTACTTGAATAAAAAACACTGATAAATAACCAATATAACTGTATTGCCTTTACTATGTAAACGTAGCCTTTTGGTATTTTCTTTTTGCCACTAAAGCTAGATTCCCTATCTGGTTCTAAATAAATTTATTTTAAATCTGCTCATCTTTACTTACAGGCTAAATTATATATTTTAATGGTCTTTGGTATGAAAATACTGATGAGCAGTATTTTTTAATATTTGACATTAAAAATGACAGGCAGGTTATCAACACTTCTAGCAAATATTTCTTTGGGAAATGAAACAGTTACCAACTTGTACATCAGCTTATTTGGAGTTGAAATATGATGAATTAATGGCACCATGAGGAAGAAGTGATAACCTTCACATTCTAGTTAGAATTTCATACTTCAGACTTCAAAGAAGCTTGCTTTTACCAAGCCAAAAGCCTCTGTTGAACATTAAATACCTTATCCCATGAGATCAAAATACTTATTTTTTAGTGATTTTTTCCCCCTCTCCAACAAGTAATTTTAAAAAAATTGAAAATACATTAATACTATAGAGTTAAAGATTTCTTTACTTGCTGAAGGGAAAAAAACTCTACAATTGAAATATTTTATAACTATCTGCTTATAAGGAAATTACAACTTATTTTAAACACTCTGGTGACAGTAAGGTAGTTAATGTCACTACTCTAATCAACTGTAACTATCAATATAAATCCTACAGTTTAGGGTTAGAAATTACTTGTAATTGGATCTATTTATAGCTGTTTCTAGGGAATTCCATTTGGGGTAATATAATAGAAATTTCATTTTCTACTGGAAATTCTTTGGTAACAGAATTATGACAGAAAAGTCTGCCTAAGAATAGAATGAAAAGGTTAAAAAAAAAAAAAAAGCACTAGCAAATAGTTATAAACTAAAGGTCTATTGTAACTAAGGGTCTATTCATCAATAAACTGAGCACTTTCTTCTGTGACAGTGTCCCCTCGGACCCTTTTAGATGGCCCAGGCAGGGAACACATTTCTGACGGGTCTGGCCCTAAGCCTGAAGTTTCACCTTTACATTTTGTTTGCTCTTGAACACTGAAAACAACTGATCCCATTGTACCTCTTCTTTGTAGACACTGATAGAAGTCGGCCCACACACTTCTACAACGAACCAAACCACACCATACCCTGTCAATGCACCTGCCCATTCGGCATGAGCTCAAAAGAAACAAAACAACAAAACAAAACGAGACAATTCCCTGAGTACAGGAAAGAACAATAACACTAGCATAACTTTAAAAAGAGGTAGTATAAACAGGAGCACCAAGGCAGGGGAAGCCGGTTCTTCTTGCCTCCCATTGTTCACCTAAAGCTCTGCTTTCTTTTTTCTTTTTTTCTTCCTCCACCCCCAACTTTGCCACAAAGCCCACAACGGAAGGGACAGAACAGCGCTCAGAAGCAGAAGCTGGTGCATCCTGTGGGAGAGGTTCTAAGCACGTTCTAGAATCACAATGAAAAAACTCTGTGGTAGGGTCATCAAGATGACGGCACTGGGTTACCCAGCAGAGTTCCCTTGATTTTAGGACACCTGGTTCATCTGTGGAGGCGGGGTTTCAAGGGAAAACCCCACATGGGGCCCTCCTTTTAAAATGCAACGGGGGGGGGGGAGGGGGAGGACAAAACCGATGATTTTAAAAGGTTAAGGACGTGCCTCTTTTTCACCAGTCTCATATTTTGTCCCTCCCATGGGGCTCAGCACCTCAGTTTGAGAGGTCTAAGGTGCCAAGTAAACAGCTTGCTGATTTCAAACCAGGCAGAAGATGAACAGTAAGCCACGAGCTCGGCCATTGGGGTAGTGGGGGACAACATCCCTGAGGCAAACCTGCGCTTCAAAAAGAGAACACCCCCAACAAGGTGCCGGATAGCAATAGGGCTATCAGTAAGATCCAAGCTTTGTTAAGGCAAATTTTTGGTATCCTTCTTCCTAAACATCTTCATGGATATTAAAAAGGTATAAGGCAAAACTTTTCAATATACTGGAAGGCACTGCTATTACGAAAATCTCAAGTTCATCTTATTTTCTACTGCTTTGTTTATCTTCATCCTTAATACTTCATGACATGTCTTCAACCCATTTGAAGCCCAACTGGGATTTTAAAAGAGAAAAATCTGAACCATCAAAAAAAAATCCATTTTCTACATTGTGTTTTGCAGTTAGCTCAGAAACTCTGAAGATGTTACGAAAGCGCAGCCCTTGGCTGACTATGGGGCCAAGCAGAAGGTGGCTATTGCAGGCTGAAGGCAGGCAGGTGCAGGCTAGAGCAAAGGACTCCTGCCCTGGTGCTCCCAGCCTAACAGCCTTGCAAGGATACGCTCCTCTATATGCTATGGAATGGTTCTCTTTTCCAAAGACACATATTTGTTTCATCCATTCAAATAAATATAGTCCCATATTTTCTCCTCACAGCCAGAGGTCTTAACATTATCCAAATAATCATGCAGGTGTCATAGTTCTTTAAAAAAAAAAAAAAAAAAAAAAAAACACAGAGCTTCAGATCAACGTTCTTCCTCATCTACCCATCGGACTCCTCAGTTACATACATCACACACATAATGGACACACGGCGTCACTAGAAAGTCCCGCTGGCTATGCTGCTGAGAGAAACCAGCACGGAAAGGAGGCAACACACTTCTTCAGAGTCCGCCAACAGCAAACTGAGGTAGCTATTCAGCAGAGGGCTCGGGCAGTCTTCCCTCCGCTCCAGTGATATATCATAGAACCCAGTCAAGCGTCCTGACTGCCCTTTTTCACATTGTTGACAATTGAAACATTCAAAATTCGTGCGCTTAAAAATAATTATAAAAATTAAAAAAAAAAAAAAAAAGATCAAAAAACCAGTAAGACATCAAGATTTTCACAAAAAGGCTTTTTGGCTCCCTGTTCATTGTCCTTCGAACAGATGCTTGTTGTAAATCCCTGAGCATGGCTGTCTAGATGGGAAACCCATCAGCAGCAAAGCGCAGCCCTGCAGACGGTGGCTGTGCGGCTGGGGAGGAGGTCTGCTCAGCCGGCAAGGGCTCTGCAGGGTCTCCATGTTTCTCCACTGTACCAGCGCCATCAGAATCGCCGCCAGCCAGGGAATCTGAGGTGCGGGGTGTGCTGCTGATGACTGAGGACAAGTGTATCTCATCATTGGACTCGTGGGAAAACCGTCCAGAATCCCCTGTCTCATGGCTGCCTTCACTGTTGGCTGAATGCTCAGTGTCGAGGGCAGCCCCAAAGGGTCTTGGGAAACTGGTGGTCTGGCCTGGGGAGGTGGGGGAGTCTTCATCGCTGATCAACACTGTGGTGCCTGGCTGGTAAAAACAGACGGCCTGGGTAGTAAACCTTCTTTGTGTCTAGGCAAAAACAGAAAAGGTAGCAATGAGACAGCAGATAACTCATATGCAGGGACAAAAGGTCGCCATTGTGAATGGACAGAGAGCTGGGAGCATTTCTGAACTACTATACCAACTGAAATGCCAAAACCTTCCTTGGTGAGGCTGGAGAGATGGCTAAGTGCTTAAGGACCCTTTAGTGCCCAGCACCCACATCAGTAATTCCAGCTCCAGGTGATCCAACGCCCTCTTCTGGCCTCCAGGGGCAGTACTTATGTACATGACATACAGCTACCCAGGCATAAATAAAAATAAAAATCTTAAAAAAAAAAAAAATCCCACCAACCCAAAACCTTGGTTACTGTGATATAAGCTCACGTCCCTCTCTTGTCTTATGGTCCTTATGTCCCCACTGAAGACCCACATCTCTGATTACTATCTGAACTGTCTTTCTGGTTGTCACTCATCACTCTTCTCCACTGTCAGAACAGAACCAGGTGGGTCAAAGCCTATTCATTACATTTCCCCATTCTTTTTAATTATCTTTCCTCATGCTATGGACAGTGAAGGATTCTCACATGAGTAGATTACCTGTTCGGCTTTCACCTTCTTAGTGTCTTGGAAGAAAAGCCACTTTTTCTTAGTGTTGTTTTTAATGATAGGACCATAGCTATTGATGATCAGGTCAGTCCCTCCCTGAGGAAATACAAAGGGAAAATACTTCAGAATTGTGAGATTTGGGTTCATCACAATTAGTACACAAAGAGTGTAAATGTCTAAAGAAGACAAAGATCACATATGGCAATTGCCTCTTTTTTTTTTTAAATAAAGGTTTATTATGTATACAATGTCTGCCTGCATGTGTGCCTGCATGCCAGAAGAGGGCACCAGACTTCATTATAGATATTTGTGAGCCACCATGTAGCTGTGGGCATTGAACTCAGGACCTTTGGAAGAGCATCAGTGCTCTTAACCTCTGAAGCATCTCCAAAGCCTTGGCACTGCCTCTTGTACTCAGCATACTTGTTTGTCATCAGAATCATATTGGGGCTGAAGAGATGGCTCAGTGGCTAAGAGAACTGGGTGTTCTTCCATAGGATTTAATTCCCAGCACCCACACGGTAGCTCACAACTATCCATAATTCCAGCTTCAGGGGATCCTATGCCAGAACCCACACAGCACAACGAGAGAACTGACTCTCACAATCTGTGCTATGAGCACCATGACATGCTTACATGCAAACACCCACAAACATCAGAAACACAATATAAAGAAATGCAAAGAGTTAATACACATTCTCCCAAAACTTTAGAATGTTTTTGTCACTGTAAATTTCAGGAAAGGGTCTGTGAAGGACGGCTGACCACAGGGGAGAGGTTGGCTCTGCAGGACACAGTGACGTCCCTACACCATCATCTTCTCTAAGACTCTTTTAAACAATCTAGAAAACATTCTTTGCTGAGGCAGTGGTCACACATCCCAAGCTGTGGGTGTGTCTGCAGTTACTGGTGACTGACACGTGTCACATTGGTTATAGAGCTACTTATAGGAATGTGATGAGCCAGGTGGTGGTGGCGCACACCTTTAATCCCAGCATTTGGGAGGCAGAGGCAGGCAGATCTCTGTGAGTTTGAGGTCAGCCAGCTCTACAGAGCTAGTTCCAGGACAGCTGGGGCTACACAAAGAAACCTTGTCTCGGAAAAAGAAACAAAACAAAAGAATTTGAGGAGGCTGAACACAGTTCTAGCTGGTTTCCACGGTGCTCTAAGAAACCCTGAGAAAGACATGAAGCAGCACCCTCTGGTGATATACTTCCTTGTAATATTCCACTTTCTCCGGCCATCAAGAGAAGGCTCTTTATATTTTATATGTACATGTGTCTTGTCTGTGTGTATGTATGTGTACCATGTGCCTGAGGAGGTCAGAAAAGGGAGTCAGATCCCTTGGAGGAGTTACAGGTGGCTGTGAGCCTCATCTTGGTGCTGGGAATGGATTGTGGATCCTTTAGAAGAGCAGAAAATGCCTCTAACTTCTGAGTCATCTCTCCAGCCCATATCTTTTTTATCTTAAAAAACAAAAAAGAAAACTATTCTTTGAAGGCAACAGAGATGGCTCAATGATTATGATCACAGAGAGGTGGCTCATTGGTTATGAGCACTGACTACTCTTCCAGAGGACCTGGGTTCAGTTCCCTGCACCCACATGGCAGCTCACAACTGTCTGTAATTTTAATTCCTGGGGACCCAACAAACATGCACATAAAGTAAAAATAAATAAGCTAAAAACAAAAAACAAAAAACAAGTACTTAAAAAAAAAAAGCACAAGCTATTTTTTCAGAGAACCAGGGACAAGATCCCAGGATCCATATGTCATCTCACAATCATCTGTAACTCCAGTTCCAGAGGATCTGGTGCCCTCTTCTTCCATCCTTGGGTACTGGGCACACACATGTTGCAGAGATATACATGCAGGCAAAACATACATGTAAAAGATTTATTTAAAAGTAAATCTTAAAACCTCTGTAACTGCTGTGCACTGAGAATGGATTCAGGCAACCGTGAAACTCAGTGTAAAATAATGTAATAGAAGTGCTTACACCAGAAGTGCAGGGGAGCCCAATTATACTAAATAATAGCTAATGATGGTGTATCCTAGCTCCCATAACCCTGCCTAATATCTGTGTCCCCACCTCTTCTGTATCTTCCATTCTTTGTTGTTTCTCATGTGTCCTCGACTTCTTCCCCCAAAACTGTGGGCGGAGTATATAATTATACTTAACAGGACACACTCAACACACTTCCCTGTTACGCTCATTTCACTCAAGGAGAAGCATTACATATCAAACCTTTGCATCAATGAAGTTGCTTGGCATCATGGGGACCAAGGACTCTTCATTCTCGGTAGCTCTCTCCAGGTTCTTCCCCCTGTCGCTCCCTGCAGCTACAGAGGTACTGGCTCGGGATAACGGCTGGGTTCCACTCTGTGCTGTTTTGGAGGCAGATGACTTCCTGAAATATTGGTTAAAAAAAAAAAAAAAAGAAAAGTCTTCTCATCTCATAGAACATATGGGCAAGTGCACCAAATTTGGCATTTAATCATAACTTTCTCTCTCTTTTTCTTTTTTTGTGACAAGGTTTCTCTGTGTATCTTTGTAGAGCAGGCTGGCCTCTAATTCACAGAGATCCACCTGCCTCTGCCTCCCAAGTGCTGGAATTAAAGGCGTGAGCCACTACCGCCCAGCTTTTTTCTTACTTTTTTTTTTTTTTTTTTTTTTTTTGAGCTATCCCAAACTGGCCTCAAACTTGTAGAAGATAATGACTTTGCATTTACATTTTCCTCTTAAAATTTTTACATTTATTTGTTTACTGAATGTGCCAATGCGTGCATTCCCTCACATGCATGCATATGTACGTGTGAAGGTAAGGAACAATTTGCAAGATCCAGTGTGCTCCTACCAGGTGGAGTTTGGTAGTCAGGCTTGTGACCAAGCTCCTGTATCTACTGAGCCACCCAGAACCATCACACGTATGACGGCCCCTTGACCTTGAACTTGGTCCTTCTGGTGCCACCATGAGAGGTGAGAATCACCACACTGGCTTAAAGTAGTGCTGGGGAATGAACCCAGGACGTACGTGATGCTAAGCACACTACTAACTGGGCCAGCTCCTCAAGCCCACAGATTTGGAAACAGAGGGTTTCTTCAATGGTTATGTCTCAAATATCTTTGGAATATAAATGTTACATTTTTTTAAAGATTTATTTCTTTATTTATTATGTATGCAGTATTTTGCCTGCATGTATCCCTGCAGCCCAGAAGAGGGCACCAGATCTCATTACAGATGGCTGTGAGCCATCATGTGGTTGCTGGGACTTGAACTCAGAACTTCTGGAAGACCAGTTAGGGTTCTTAGCCATTGAGTCATTTCTCCAGTCCCTAAATATTAGATCTTTAGCTCTACTCACTGCTGTAGTGTTTGCAATTTGCCAGATAGCTGATGGCTAACACATCTGTTTACTTCACTAGCCTGTGATTCCGGCCCCTTGTTCTTTATTTCTCTTAGTGCCTAATGCATGTCTGCTACCAATACTTAGATATGAGATCATAAGGGATCCTCTGGGGGAAAGGGGTGTGCCATGAAAAGAGACACAGAAGGAAAAGTCAATCGCCCATTTTCTCAAAATGATACAGAAATGCAGAAATCAAACCCCCATCTAGGGATTTTTATTGGCACAGCAGTTTTTTTCTCTCCAATGGCAGGAAAATGATCTCAGTATAAATCCAGCACACTCTGAGCTGTAAACCCCACAACATAATACTCCTTTTAAGGAGGAAAATTACTCAGTTGATTCCACAAGGCGCTTGATTTCAATGTGTTTCCTGCAGCTGCTGTTATTTAAATATTTATAACCATTACAGCATCTCTCCTTTGCACGCCTACATACGAACAGTGTGTGCGTGGAGCGCTGAGGTTGACCTAGGTGTCAATCACTTCCCACATTACGTTTGAGGTTGAATCTCTCACTGAAACTGGAGCTCGCCATTTCTACCACGTTGCTGTGGAGCTGCAGGGGGTTGTCCTGCCTTTGCCTCTTGAAAGCTGGGATGATAGGCAGGCACCACACCCACCTAGCATCTCTGTGGGTTCTGGGACCTTTGGTTCTCACACTTGGCATTTTACCTGTGAGTCCATCACTCCAGGCCCTACATTAGCATCTTGAGCAAGAGAAGCATACCTGGCTTTGCTTCGGTATATCAAGATTAGAACACAGATGAGGATGCAGGTCAAGGCTATGCCAACGCCTACTGCAATACCCGTCATTGACTTCTGGTCCAGATGGTAATAGCCTGAATAAGCTAGAGAGGGAAGACGTTTATTCAATCAGAAGAAACAACCACATCCGCACCATCATTGCTCACACAGTTGCTTTTCTGTAACTTGCCTTCACCTCACAGGAACAGTTTAGACATTCCTTCTAAGCAGAAAAGTCATGAATTGATTCTTGCCAGTGATTACAGAAGTCAATTTATCTTCTAGTATGAAGATTGAGGCCAGGCCACATTTAGACAGCATACTATTATATCAAACAATGAGCATCAATCTAGAATTTTATTGAGTTATTTATTTGTGTTTTTTGAGATAGGGTTTCTCTGTGTAACAGCCCTGGCTGCCCAGGAATAAACTCTGTAGACCAGGCTGGCCTTGAACTCAGATATCTGCCTGCCTCTGCCCCCCAAGTGCTGGGATTAAAGTCGTGCAGGACCCCCTGCCTGTTTTTGTTTGTTTGTTTTTCAAGACAAGGATTCTTTGTGTAGCTGTGGCTGTCCTAGAATTCACTTTGTAGATAAAGCTGGCCTTGTACTTGCATAGATCTGCCTGCCTCTGCCTCCAGAATGCTGGGACTAAAACGTGGCCACCACTACACCTGGACCCTTTCTGTTCAGCAGGCAGTTTCTGTTTACAGCCATTCTGTTTCTCTATAGAAACCAGAGTGAGGTGTCTAGTCCTGGACCCCAAGGAGGCACTGGCTCCCTGTAGACCAGCGGACAATTGAGAGTCCTGAGTAAAGGTGGGGGCTAAGCCACATTTCCCCCGCTCCCAGCTGTTTTTCTGGGTAAAATCAAACTTCTGGCTGGGAAAGCTGTTTTTCTTAATGAAATCCAGGCTCTTCCCAGCCTTGGTACCACAACCACCTCTGCTGCTGATTTCCTCAGAACCTTCCAGGATGCTCACACCCACCAGTGTGTAACTCATCCAGCCCAGTGGCTGCACAGCTGGGTAAGCAACTGGGAGCATATTGGTCTGGGAGCACTGTGGTCTGGAACATAGTGGTATGGGAGCACAGCAGTCTGGGGGCACAGAGGTTTGGGAGCATAGCAGTCTGGGAGCACAGAGGTTTGGGAGCATAGCAGTCTGGGAGCACAGAGGTCTGAGAGCACAGCAGTCTGAGAGCACAGAGGTTTGGGAGCACAGCAGTCTGGGAGCACAGCAGTCTGGGAGCTGAAAGTTCGTTCTGAGGTGTGTCTAGGATCACAGATAGCCATGCATTACAGAAAACCCAGAACTCCACAAGCAACAATTCAGCAAACCAAATGTAGGGTTAGGAGTGTGGCAATTGTGGCAGCTGAAGTCAAGTATTAGGGATGAAAACCCAGTGACTGTGGCAGCATCCAGACCTTTGGCATCAGAAGAATCCAATCGCTTGGGCCTCTGGTTCGATTCCGAAGTGCCCTTGGGGAGGACAACCAGCTCCACAGAATTGGAGAAGGGGCCTTCTCCCACCTCGTTGGATGCAGATATCTTGACAATGTACACGTTCCCTGCCACCAGGTTTTCCAGTAAAGCCATGGTCATTGCCCCTAGAGACATACAAATTAAGTAAACATTTACAGCCATACAAACATGGACCAGCACTTAAAAAGTATTTATTCTGAGGGGTCTGGAGAGATGATGGCTCAGCAATTAAGCATGTTTGCTGGCCTGGTGGTTGCGGCGCACACCTTTGATCCCAGCACTCAGGAGTTCGAGGCCAGCCTGGTCTACAAGTCAAGTTCCAGGACAGACTCCAAAGATACATAGAGAAACCTGGTTTTGGAAAACAAACATACAAACAAAAACAAAACAAATAGTGTTTGCTGATCATGCAGAAGACCTGAGTTCAATTCCCAGCACCCACATCACACAGCTTACAACACTTGTAACTCCAGCTCCAAGGATTCTAATGTCCAATTCTGGATTCCCCAGATATATGTGCCATGCACAAAAACATAAATAAAAATAGAAGTAAATCTAAAAAAAATCTTTTCCCTAATTGTAGAAGTGACTTTTTCATTACTGTCACCTGGAAAACAGATTTAAATATAGATACACTGATTATTCCACTGCAGACATTTAAATTATTTCCATGTGTACTAATGAAGGGACACAGATTTTCCTGTTCGTTTGCTTTTTCAAAAACAATTTTTTTTTTTGGTTTGGTATGGTGCTAGGATTGAACCCAGGTCCTTGTGCTTGCTAAGCAAGCGCTCTGCTATGGAGCTACATCCACAGCCCGAATACATACTCACCTTATGCACTTTCACAGCTTAATGTTTTCACTTAACACTGTACTATGCATATGCAGTCAACCCACAAAGACCCCAGGTGGAGGTTTTTTGTTTGGTTGGTTTTTTAAAGATCTGTTTTCTTTTTAATGATGTGTATGTATGTTTGGGGAAGGGGTATGTGCCTGTGGTATACATAGACATCTGAAGGGGCATCAGATCCACCCCTACACATACCTCAAAGCTGGAGTTACAGGTGGTTATGAGCAGCCCTGATTCAGGTTCTGAACACTGAGCTTGGGTCTTCTGAAGAGCAGTATGCTTTCTTAACCATCAAGCCATCTCTCTAACCCTTTAGAGGGAACTCTTTACACAGAGCATATACTTTTGTTTCAGTGTATATGAGTATTTAAAATGTATATCAGTTTAATTTATACTGTTTACTTATAATGTATATGCCTGTATAATGTTTTACTCCTTCTATACACATGACATTTAGGACACATAATTATGGCCATTTCAACCTGTACAGAAAGAATGGCAAATGTAATGAGCCTGGATCAACAGTTAGAATTAGACTTTAAAAATCTAGTGTAAGAAAAAAAAAAAAAAAAAGCAATTCCAGCATAAGACCAGTCTTTCGTTTCAACTACTTAAGGTAACAGCTGTTTTAGATGAGCTTGTTCTTCCTTCTGACGCAAGAATAGGAGCCGGAGAAATGGCTCAGCAGTTAAGAGTATGTACTGCTCATGCAAAGGACTTACGTTAAATCCCCAGCACCCATGGCAAGTGGCTCACAACTGCCTATTAGTCCAGCACAAGGGATCAGGGCCTCTGGTCTCTGCAGACACTTGCATTCACAAGCACATCTCCCCACAAAGACACACTACACACACTTACTTAAAAACAATTAGCTGGGCATAGTGGCACACACCTTTAGTCCTAGCACCCTAGAGACAGAGGCAGAGGCAGGCAGATCTAATTGAGTTTGAGACAAGCCTGGTCTATAATGCCAGTACCAGGACCACACAGAGAAACCCTGTCTCAAAAAACAAAAACAAACAAACAAAAATTACAAATAAATAAATAAAAATAAAAATAAAAATAAATGGGGCTAGAGAGATAGCTCAGTAGTTAAGAGCATTGGCTGCTCTACCAGGATTTGGGTTCAATTCCCAGCACCCACATGGTAGCTCACAACTGTCTATTAACTCCAATTCTAGGAGATCCAATACCCTCTTTGGCTTCCACAGAGAGGCATCAAGCATGCAAGTGGTATATAGATATGCATGCAGGCAAACACCCATACACTTAAAAATGAAAGTAAAAATATTAAACAATAAAAAGACATATTTCATTGAGAAAGACAAATATTTTCCAAATGTTGAATGAATCTTTCAGCAACAGATTATCTTGTTTCTAAAAATACAGGTTTCCATGGGAACCACAGAGGCTGATGACCCCTCACAGGTTAACTCTTCTGAGAGCATTTTATTACATTTCTGTTTGAGTGTATGCTGTATGTGTGTGGTTGTGTGCACACTGGTGTGCTGCAATCAGCTATCTTCTTCCAACACGGGGGTTGGAACTCTTCCAGCTTGTTGGGGAGTGCTTTTACCCACTGAGCCATCTTCTCAACCCCACGTTAACCTGTACCCTGCAAGGTGACCAGACCATGGCCGGCAAGATGGCTTAAGGGCTAGAAACGCTTGCCATTGAGCCTGAGAGTCTGACTTTGATCCCTGGAACCCACAGGATAGAAGGAGAACTGACTCCCCACAGGTTGTCCCCTGATTTCCATATTACCAACCCAACACACACAGGAAATAAATAAAAAATGCTTTAAAACGATGCCCATGCTTCTTTGTAAAAGAATACATCTGCCTGAAGGCAACCATCACTTGAATCCAGGTGTTTAGCATCTGTGGGTGTTTTCTCTTCGATGGTCACTGAGGATTCCTGTTTGAACCTTACTATTTGTTTCTGCATTTAAAGAATTTCTCTTCAAGAGAGTCAGCCATACAGCTGTCATAACAGGGACACCTAGCTTTCCTGGTATGGGGAGGGAGCATTCTCCTCTTCCCATGATGCACAGGGGCCTACAACAACTTCAGAAAGCTTACAAGAGCTCACTCTAGTCAACTGCAAAGCCAGGGCTGGCTTTTCTGGAGCACTCACTAGGGTGCACCTCATCAGCAGGGAAGTGTGGGCAATCCTATGGCTGAAGCCCTGACACCACGGCCATTCTGCAGGTCACACACTGTGAGGTACCAGGAGCCCAACAGGACTTGTTTTCATGTTCTCCGGTTTCAACTTGGCCTGAAGAGAGTGTGAGTTACTTGAATAACCCAGCTGCTAAATAAACACAAGAAGCCCTATTTAGAAGCAGGAAGAGTCTGTACTGTGTACCTTGGACACAGGCAGAGGCATTACAAAACAAAGATGTACCGTGACAAGTTAAAATTAGCTAACGGGCCATTCCAACTTCTTCACAAGTAGAGATGAAAATAATGCTCCTGCTTTAGCATTAAATACATTTAAAATTTCAAAATGCTTGGCAAAAACTTACCACTACCAAAGCTTTGGCTGGGCAGTGATGGGAACCCCTTTAATCCCAGCATTCAGGAGGCAGATGCAGTGAGTTCGAGGACAGCATGGTCTACAAAGCAACTTTCAGGACAGCCAGAGCTACATAGAGAAATCCTGTCTCAGGGGAAATTTTTCTTTTGTTTTATGTACCCGAGCTCCTGATCCTCCTGCCTCTACATCCCAAGTGCTGAGATATGGGCATGCACTAACATGGTCAGTTTTTTCCAGTGCTGGGGACTAAACCCAGGCTTTCATGCATGCTAAGCAAGTACCCTACAAGCTGAACTACACCCCCAGCCCAATTAATTTAAGTTTTGTGAGTCAGCAGTGTATGTAAACACAATTCCTCTACCCAGCAAAAATGATTTCAGCTACAAAAAAAAAAAAAAAAAAAAAAAAAAAAGGAAAGAAAAAGAAAAAGGTGTAACACTCTGGCCTCCCATGAACACATGAGGCTTGTGTGTGGAGATCAGGCACCAACTTGCGGGCATCAGTTCTCTGCTTCCACCGTGTGGGTCCCAGGGATCAAACCCAGGAGCAAGCATCTTCGCCTGATGGTCCATCTTGCCAGCCCACTACCACAAGTGTTTTGATCCTCAAAACAAATAAATAAATAAATTCTTGATCTATCTGGTATTAAATAGGAACATATATATGTTCAATTTACACACATTAAAGATTATCAGCCAGGCAGTGGTGGTGGTGTGCGCCAATCCCAGCACTGGAGGTGCGGGATGGGGGCAGAGGAAGGCAGATCTCTAATTTCAAGGCCAGCCTGGTCTACAGATCGAGTTCCAGGACAGCCAGGGCTACACAGACAAACTTTGTTTTTCAAAAAAAAGGGAAAAAATATATCAGATCTGACAAAACCCTTACTTCCCCGTCTTTTCCTATACTCTCCTTTCCAAAACTGTTACGATCAGACACAAAAGACACTTTTCCACTTTGAGTTTTTCTCTATGCTAGGCTGTGTTCTTGCTTCTTAAGTGATTATAGGTTGACTCCTTTATGTTTTCTCTCTCAAAACTGGGACTAGATGGCTTTTTCTTATATTATTTACTTGTTCTTTCTGAGCCACAGCATTAACCATAAAGAAAGCTCTCTCCATTTAACAGACGACAAAAGCTTTTCACAAGAATGTTCCTGAAAACCTCACCAAGCAGCGTACAGATCATGTTTTCCCGCACACAATTATGTAGTTAGGAAGGTTCACAGAGATGCAAAGCCTGCAATTACTGTCCGAGTCTCCATGGAGCCAGAAATGAGGTAAGATATTCATTTCTGAGCTCTTTCCCAAACTCCAGAATGGGTCAATTTGAAAACAGGCAAAGGAAATTATTGTTTCCTTTTAGGAAGGCAAGAAAGAGGAATTCAGAGCAACGAGCTCAAGTGGGTCCTTATTAATATTTATGACACCTCATTAAATCAGATTTGTCATTTGGTTAAGTATTGTGTCAATAAACCATCTTGGAAAGGAGGCTGGAACTGAACTGCAGTAGGGGGTGGGGAGATGGCTCATGGGTGAAAAATGTTGCTCTTCTGGAGGACCCCAAGTCACTCATGCTCTAGGAAACTCAGCATCCTCCTCTAGCCTCTGCAGGCACTGCACACATGTGACAAGGACAAACAAAGGCAAAAATAAATCTAAAACGAGACACATGGTAGGGCCCCCAAAAAAGGCAAAGAGGTTTTAAAGGTATGACAAACCAAGTCAGATCCCCAAGACCCACATAGTGGAGACAACCAACCCCTCCATGTTGTTCTCTGAGCCCCCCTAACAGGGGGGGTCTAACAGGACATCAGTACATGTAACAACACAGCCAAGGTTGGAGACACTTTGTTTCCACAGCTTTATCTTTCCATCCAGACTCTAAACACCTCTCCCGACTGTCCCTAGACTCCTCATCCCTATCAGAATCACAGTTCATGGAATCAGTAAGAAAATGCAGTAATTGCTTGAAGCTCTAGAGGGGTCTTTGAAGCTGCAAGGGACACTGACAAACAAGACACATAACTGTCAACTCTTAATTACCTTCAAATGTCCTCAGAAGCCAGTTACTCCTGAGTGGGGCTCATGAGAACAGAAAACATGGATCTACAGCCATAAAAACTGCAGGTACATGGCTAGAGAGAATGAGCCACAGCTAAGGGCACTAGCTGCCCTTGCAAAGGACTCAGGTTCATTTCTTAGCTCCTACATGGTGGCTCAAAATGCCTATTCTGAGAAATCTGATGTCCTCTTCCAGCCTATGTGAGGAATTGCATTCATACGCACAAACTCAGTCACACAGAATTAAAAATAAATTTTAAATCTGTAAAGAAAAGAAAACTCTCCAGCCAATGGTGGTGCACACCTTAAATCTCAGCACTCAGGAGGCAGATGCAGATGGATCTCTGTAAGTTCAAGGCCAGCCTGGTCTACAGAGCGAGTTCCAGGACAGCTAGGGCTACCCAGAGAAACCCTGTGTAGTTTTTTTTAAGGAACCAAAAAAAAAAAAAAAAAGGGGGGGGGGATTATTATAATCCTTAAGCTTTTTGTGTTTTCTTCCATGAGATAGGCTTGTGCTGGCCATAAGATTGGAATTTTTTTTTAAATCTCAAAAGTGCTAGGATTTACAGATGTGGACCACCACCCCCAAATCCTTAAACTTATAATTGCTTGGCAAACCTTCCTTTTCCCAGCACATGTGAATTAAGGGCATGCCAGAATAACACTTTAAATTCCCCATCTAAACTGCTATATGGAACATGTCCAAATGGGGGATTTAAAATTTTAAAAAGAATGTAATGTTAAAAGCACGCAGTGAGAATATTAAGAATTTGATAATTCATTATTCCTCAGATAAAAACAGACTACTGTTTGAGACCTTTAACAGTGTTATTAAGTCCTGACCAGGTTTTCTCTATACTTAAAAAAACTGGGGCCAGCAAGATGGCTCCAAAGGCAGCGGGCTTGCTGAGCAACCCTAACTGGAACCCACTGCAAAGGCCAGAAGTGGTGGCACACATCTGTAATCCCAGCACCCCTATGGTGAGATGGGAGGTGCAAAGAGAAGTGACCAGGGGCTCCTGGGTCAGCTATCAGAGGCAGAGACAAATAAGACCCTGCCTGAACAAGGTGGAAGGCGAGACACGTGCATGTCTGTACTCACACGTACCATTGACTAACTGAGTGGAACTGGCAGATGGCTTGCCAATGAATGGTCTTTGAGCAAAACCAGAAACCTTAGTAATCAGTTACTTCCTACATAAGAACGTAAACTCAATGCCAGTTCTGTATCACTTCCTTGGTCTCCCTGTGACACTGACATACCTTATTGGCATCCTCCTTGATCACACTCACCTTCTCTGTGTAGGACCTGCCACTCGCCCGCAATCCAGGCCTTCCTGGAAGCATATAAGATGGTGTAGCGTGTCACCACTGTTTCTGGGCCATCTGGGGGTTTCCAGGAAACAAGAGCAGTGTCATCCTCTATCAGTGTCACCTTCACCCCCACTGGGGGGCCTGTGGGTGCTGTGGGGACATGAGAATGATACTGTATGAGCAGGGTTAGAGGAGTTACAAGCACTCAAATGATGGCTGAGAGACGGAGAACCATGGACAAGTCTGCTCAACCAGAAACTACTATAAGAAATCTAAACATCACAGCTTTTGAGATTCATTGCAATAACAGGAAAGAGCTGAGGCTGGCCTCCAATACCTCCCCAGAGCCCGGAACAGGCAGGTACTACCATATCTGGTTGGGTAAAACCGAGGGCTCCGTGCATGCTAGGCAATCGCCCAGCACTTACCTTACCCACTGAGCTATTTCCCCAATCTTAATTCTACCTTCAGGTAGAATTAAAAAGCATTACATTAAAATTTTTTACATTAAAAAGCAAAACAAAACATAAAGAAGAGGGTAGACTCTACATAGAAATGTCCTAGATCCGAGGGACAGGATTTTCAGGACTTTTAAAATGTTATTGTTAAAGTACCAATCAGAAGCCGGGCATCAGTGGCGCACACCTTTAATCCTAGCACTAGGGAAGCAGAGGCAGGGGGAATCTCTGTGAGTTCGAGGCCAGCCTGGTCTACAGAGTGAGTTCCAGGACAGCCTCCAAAGCTACACAGAGAAACCCTGTCTCGAAAAAAAACAAAGAAACAAAACAAAAAAGTACCGATCAGAAAGGCTCATGGAAGCAGGGAACTGATGAGCATGAGCCAGGCCATTGGAACACTTCCTGGCACAGAGCGGAAAGGGAAGGGAGGGTGTACAGTTTATTGTTTCATCTATTCACCAGAGAAAGGCCCTATTGGTACTGACTCCAAACTGTAGCTACTACTAAAACGTTCAGAACAATAACCTGATCCAGAAAGCCTGAAGCAAATGCTCCAGAGACTAAAGCATTTAGTTACTTCCCAAGACGCCAGAATCTGTGTTTATAGATCAGACTCGAATAAGAATGCCTGTGTGTGTGTGTGAACGCCAGTAACATGGAGTATCAGCTGACTCCACATTTAACGAGAGCTCAGAGTATGAAGAGACAGGCTTTCATGCTGTGTTTTATGGATGTCATCTAAACCACAGATCTAGGGACACAAAGCACTGTAACCAGAGCCACAGATGTCATAGTCGGTGCACAGCCAGCTATTCATGTGGCACTGGGTGCACCACCAGGCTGATGTAGGGAAGTGCGGTTTGGGGTGGGGTCCTAAGCGGCTTAATAAGCTTCTTCTGCTCTCAGTGAGCTGATGCTGAGGCTCAAACATCATGACTAACTGGGGAAAAAAATTAAAAAGGAGTCCGCAAAGGGACAGAAACTAAAGTTTACCGGCTTTAGTTCGGGGGAGGGGGGGGCGGCGGAGAGGGATGTGCTTAAATATAATAGGGAAAAATTCAAAAGGGAAAAAAATTAAGTAGCAGATATCAGTTGGGGGAGATGAGGGGAAGTGGCGGATAGACTTCCATTCTTCTAATCTAGGCTTGTCCTTGAACTCACTATGTAGATGAGGAGAACCTTCAATTTCTAAGCCTCCTGAATCTATCCCCTGGTGGTGGTGCTCACCTTTAATCCCAGGAAGCAGAGGCAAATGGATCTCTGTACATTTGAAGTCAACCTAGTCTACAGAGTGACAGATAGGACAGCCAGGGCTACAGAGAAACCTTGTCTCAACGCCCCCCTCCCCTGAAAAACAACAAACCTCTCTGAGTTTGAGGTCAGTCTAGTCTGCAGACTGAGTTCTATGATAGCCATTTTGATTCTGTCTCAAAAAACAAAACAAAAACCCAAACAACAACAATAACAAAAGCCAGTTTTTAAAAAATATATAAGCAGAGGCAGCTGGATCTCTGTAAGTTCGAGGCAGCCTGGACTACACAGCAAGTTTCAGGACAGCCAGGACTGTTATACAGAGAAACCTTGTCTTGAAACAACAATAACAAAAAACAAACAAAACAAAAATAAAAATGTAAAATATAAATACACACACACACACACACACACACACACACACACACATATATATATATATATATATAAAATCCATAGTGGAACTAGAGAGATGGCTCAGTGGTTAAGAGTACCATCTGCTGCTATCGTGCAGTCCCAGTCCAACCATCTGTACCTATACCAGAGAATCTGATGCCGTCTTCTGGCTTCTGTAGACACTGTATGCATGTGCTGCACAGACACAATGCAGCCCAAACACCCAATCATGTAACAAATAAAAGATGGATGCACGGGGTGGCTTCAGGTCCTACCTTCTGGCAGTGTGGAGTGGTAGACCACGGGGCTCCAGGGACTGGAGAGCTGATCCACATGCAGACGGACAGCAAACTCATACTTGGTGTTTGGTTCTAGTCCTTGGACCAACATGTGCGTTTCTGATCTGTGTTAAAGAGTAAGGGGGTTGTTAGCACCGGTGACATATTTGCAATAGTCGGTGTATCAATTCATGTCAAGGAAGCACAGTTTTCAGAACCGAACAAACAACGGGAACCGAATCTTCCAGACATTTTAGATTATCAGCTCTGAAAGAGTCCTCAATGAAGCCCAAGCTGAGCCCAAGACAGCAGTCGGAAGTGTGAGCGGCCAGGATCGCAAAGGAAACAACCATGAAGGCGAGTTACATACGTTTGCAGGTAGAGAACCAGAGAGGCGTTCTGCAGGCCGACAGGGTTACAGCGGATAGTGTAGTTAATGACTTGGGCCGTGGTGAATGCAGGCCTCCTCCAGTGCAGGAAGATGGAAGAGGAGGTGTTAGCCTTCGCATAGAGATGGTGGGGTGGCGGTGGCGGAGGGACCATGCGATCTCGAACAGCTATTGAGAAATGCAACACGGATTCACTGCAAGGGTTGGGTGTTGTAGAGAGCGGTATAACGGAAAAGGAGAAAACTGCAAGGCCGGTGGGTCTGAGGTCTTTCTCCCACCGGTATCATAATGGCCTATCCCTGACTACTCAAGCTAGCAAACTCTTCTGTGAGTTAGATGAAGACTCAAACGCTTAACTGTCTGAAAAACAATAGCTCTAGACAGTTTTAGTAGCGCATGACTTTAACCCCGGCATTCAGAGACAAGAAGAACTCTGTGAGTTCAAGACCAGCCTGGTCTATACAGTGAGTTCCAGAAAATCCAGAGCTACACAGTGAGGTCCTGTCTTGAAAAAAAAAAAAAAAAAGAAAGAATGGAAAAACAAAAACCCAAATGTTCCCCCACTCCCCTGCAAAAAAGGAAAAAAAAAAAAAAAAAACCAAACAAATACTCTAGTATCATAGCAGATGCCTTTAATCTTAGGAGACAGATCTCTGAGTTCAGTTCATTTTCTTTTCTTTTGAGACAGGGTTTCGCTGTGTAACAATCCTGGCTGTTCTGGAACTCACTTTGTAGACCAGGCTGGGCCCCAGCTCATTGAGATCCGTCTGCCTCTGCTTCCCAAGTGCTGGAACTAAAAGCATGCACCACCAACACCTGGAAGATCTCTGAGTTCAAGGCCAGCCTGGTCTATATAACAAGTTCAGGACAGCCTGGGCTATATACAGTAAGACCCTGTATGGGACCATATATGGAAAAGCAAAGTACTAGCCAAAGGTAGAGAAAGCCAGAGCTAGAAGAACAAGACACAGAAACAATTGAAGAAAAAACTGGCCTCCAGGCAAAAGCAGACAAGAGGAAATTCAGTGTGTAGGTAACCTATGTGTTTCCCCCAGTTAGCTTCTAACAGTCTTCTGCAGGCAAAATTAAAACAGGTACTTAGAACTGAAACATCCCACTTTTACTGAGTCCCCACTTATACAAGACGTGCCCAGCAGCTGGAGCATATAAAGAAATTACTCCCGCCCCATCCAGTCTTTCAAGTAGTAAGGAAGCTGAATTTCAAACAGGGGGTGGGGTGGGGTAGGGGGTATATCTGAGCCACAGCACAAAGCTGTGTGGCTGTCACTCACACACGCATCCAGGAGTGCTGACAGTTTGGTCTGCCTGGTAGCCGTCTTCCATGTTGTTGTAAGCCAGCAGCCTCACATGGTATTTTCTTCTTGGATCTAGAAAGGAGACCAGCATCACTCATGGAGACCAACCCTCCACAGCATCACTCATGGGGACCAGGTCTCCACAGCACTCATGGGGACCAGCCCTCCACAGCATCACTCATGGGGACCAGCCCTCCAGCATCACTCATGGGGACCAGGCCTCCACAGCACTCATGGGGACCAGCCCTCCACAGCACTCATGGGGACCAGGCCTCCACAGCATCACTCATGGGGACCAGCCCTCCACAGCATCACTCATGGGGACCAGGCCTCCACAGCATCACTCATGGGGACCAGCCCTCCAGCATCACTCATGGGGACCAGGCCTCCACAGCACTCATGGGGACCAGCCCTCCACAGCACTCATGGGGACCAGGCCTCCACAGCATCACTCATGGGGACCAGCCCTCCACAGCATCACTCATGGGGACCAGCCCAGCACTCATGGGGACCAGCCCTCCACAGCATCACTCATGGGGACCAGCCCTCCACAGCATCACTCATGGGGACCAGCCCTCCACAGCATCACTCATGGGGACCAGCCCTCCGCTACGGGCAGAAGCCCTGGCAGAGGTGCAGGTTTGGCATGGGCACTTTCTGAACGTAGGACGGTTCTAAGAGCAATGCCCCTTCCTTTTTCCTAATCTAGACTCTCTTGCTGTCACTATCTGCTGTGACACTGCCACTGGGATTACTGGTTATCTTTAAAGTTGATGTGTTTAACCCAATTTCAAACCACCACAAACACTCCATTTCAAATGGCCAAATTTTTATTTTCATTATAAATTACATTTTATTCCTTCATTTTGAATGTTCGTGTGTCCATGCTGCCACACATGGAGGGAAGAGGACAACTCTGGGTCAGTTTTTCTTTCCACTCTGAGTTCTGGAAATCACTTCTATCAGGGCTCAGTGTTTTTAAGGACAGGGTCTTGCCCAGGCTGCCTTCCAATTGCCTATGTACTCAAGCTAGGCTTAAATTCCCCATACAGTCCAGACTGGCTTGGAATTGTACCCTCTCCTGACTCAGCCTCCTCTCCATGATGGGTCCCCAAAGGTTATTTTATACAGATGTGTTTTGCTGTGGCAATTAAATTCGAGAGTAGTATTTTCTCCCTCAGTTAGGGAGAATTAGGACAAACACCCTTCAGTAGAACCTCTGAGTATTTATTTCTAAGTGGGTCTCTTTCCAAGAAACCTCCATTTTCAAGCTCATATATAATTCAAGACTGGTGGGCTGGAGCGCCCTCTACTGGTGCCTGTTAGCTATCACAGCACAAAAAAAAGGAACCCATCCCATGCAGTTTTTTCAATGTATATGAATAGGTATTCAAATCATTTTTCCTTAAGCAAATGAAAAATACTCTCATTCATAGAACAGTTGAGGAATTAATTCACAGCTGACCTAAGGGCACACACATATATTAAAAATAACAAAAGTAACCCTATAGTGAATTCATTTAAAACATGAAAATACATTTGTGAAATTCTCCAAAGTAATTTTTAAGATTTATAATTTCTACATTAGAAATTTATAAATATATTAATTCTTTATGTTAAAATATATTTAAAAGGGCTAGAGAGATGGCTCAGTGGTTAAGAGCACCGGCTGCTCTTCCAGAGGTCCTGAGTTCAATTCCCAGCAACCACATGGTGGCTCACAACCATCTCTTCTGGCCCAAAGGCATACATGTAGGCAGAACATCATATTATAAAATATCCTGGGTAGGCAAGAAGGCCCAACAGGTAAAGCCTGACTACCTAACTTCAAGGTAGGACACACACAGTAGGAAAGGAAACAATGCCTCAAAAAACAAAACACCTCTGTAAGTTCAAAGCCAACCAGTTCACACAGGGAGACCCAGGGCAGCCAGAACTACACAGAGAGACCTTGTCTCAAGAAACCAGAAAACAACAACAAAAGAAAGCCACAACAAACATAACCAACCAAAATATTCAAAAGACATTCCCCACCTAAAAACCGACTTTAGAGAGGATAAGAAGAAGGCTCAGGGCCATACAAAGCTAACTGAGAACTGGGAACTTACCGACAGATACATATGTTCTCCTCTGTTCCTTTTGGAGGCAGCCAAATTAGGAAGCCCAGCCTGGCCTTGAACTCACAATTCTCCTATCCCAGACCCCAAGTGCAGTGTTTAAAGGCATGTACTACCACTCCAGCCTGGACTACAAATTTATGACAAAGCACAGGGCCTCTACATTTGCACAAATACACATTCCTACATCAGAAAAAGTTTGTCTGTTCCAAACAATTTCAAAATAGAACACACACACACAACTGAGAGCTATTAGACAAATATTTTTAAAATAATTTATATTTTTATTTCATTTGCATTCATGCTTTACCTGCTTGCATGTTTTCGTGAAAGTGTCAGATCCCTTGAAACTGAAGTTACAGGCAGGTATGAGCTGCCATGTGGGTGCTAGGAATTGAACCTGGGTCCTCTGGAAGAACCACTGAGCCATCTTAACCACTGAGCCATCTCTCCAGCCCCAGACAAATATTTTATAAAGTAATTACCAGAATTACTTTATTCAAGAGCACTTGAATTTCATGACCCAAATAATTTACAATTTTTGGTTCAGGTTAATGACTATTCAAATTTGGATCTATTTTCATCTTTCTTTCCCATCCTTCTATTGAATCTATCAATCAATTGAATTCCTGGTTCCACCCTGCAGGTACTCTGTGTTGTGACTAGTGGAACACTGCACTAGATTCCCATGAATTCAGAGGGCAATGTTGGCAAATCTTTCTGTAATCAGGGGCTGGGTCTTTGGGACCATCTGCTGATGGTAGCATGCCATTCCAGGGACAGGTAGACACAGAAAAGAGAATATGAGGCAGACTTGCTTCAGAGCCCAACACAGCATAGGCATTCTCATAGAATATTGCCTAAGGAGGGTGTTAGAATGAGTGGAGAGTTCATTTCTCTGATCTCTGGGATGGTGTGTGTATACATGCATTTGAGTATGCACAAATATGTGTCTTGTATGAAGTTATGGGGCCAGAGGTTGACACTGGGTACCTTCCTGAGTTACCTCTCCATGTTATTTTTGAGGCAGGGGCTCTCACAGAACCTAGAGCTTACTGATTCAGCTAGGATGGCTGGTCAGTGAGCTCCAGGGATCCACTTGAATTAGTCCACTTCTGGCTTCTTTGTGGGTGTTGGGGATCCTAACTCTGGTCATCATTCTTGCATGGTAAACATTTTACCAACTGAGCCTGTATTCCCAGTACGGGGAAGGCAGAGTCAGGATTCCTGAAGCTTGTTGGCCAACCAGCTAACCCATTCAGTGGATTCCAGGTTCAGCAAGACACCCTGTCTCAAAACACAAAATGGAAAGCAACAGAAGAAGGCAGCCTCTAACTCAACATACATATCACACACACATACACACACACACACACACACACACACACACACACACACACACACACACACAAAGGAGGGAAACATAAAGCTACATCATTAGTAGAAGGAAGGGAACAAACTAATAAGTTAAGCATGTAGAACCAACATTTGAAACAATAGGCAAAAACACAGAGACTAAACTGAACAAAATAATGGGAGTTCTAAACCTGAGTTCTGCAGGCTTCGGCTCGGATGGTGAAGCAGAGAACAGGATCCACACTAGAACGCTTCGTGGAAAAAGCTCCTTAGGCTAACACAGCCCTGCTGGAGTTAAGTATTGCCACATGCACAGTGCTTTATCTCATGACACTCAGCAAACTAAGGCAATGTGGTTTGAGGCGAAGCAGCAGAGCTAGAACAGCCACAAAGGACAGTGTAGGCTTTCTCAGGAAGGGAGGAAGAGAGGAGGCAGGACAGAAAGAATTAACACCAGTTCCCAAAACTCAACACAAGATACTTTTATATTTTCCTTTCCATCTTTCTTTTGTTCTTTCTTTCTTTCTTTCTTCCTTCCTTCCTTCTTCCCTCCCTCCCCCCTCTTTCTCTCTTCCTTTTCTTTTTTTTGGGTTTTCAAGACAGGGTTTCTCTGTGTAGCTGTGGAGCCCCCTATGTTGATCAGACTGGCCTTGAACTCACCATCTTTATACCTCAGCCTCTCAAGCAGTTGGAATAACTAACAGGCATGAGTCACCAGAATGGTGCAAAGAGGTAGCATTTGAACTTTGGGTTAAATTTGCTTTAAAGGGGTCAGGAGAGACAGCTCGATGCCTAAGCATGCTTCGTGCTCTTGCAGAGAAGTTCAGTTCTTAGCACCCACATCGGGTGGCTACAACCACCTTTATAGAACTTCGGCTCTGTGGGGTGTGGTGGTGCAGAGTCCCACTACCAGAGAAGGCAGAAGATCTATGAGTTTAAAGCCAACGTGGTCTGCAAAGCAAGTTTCAAGACAGCCAAGGCTTACCCACAGAAACCCTATCTCAGAAAGAAAACAAACAAGCAAACAAAGACAAATAAAACCCTCCAGCTCCTCCTCTGCGACCCTCTTCTGGCCACCATAGGTAACTGCATACATACACAGGGCATACATACATACACACACACACACACACACACACACACACACACACACACACAGAGTTAAAAATAAAATTAAATACCTTTTAAAATGCTTTAAAAGTTGGAAATGTATAAAAATATTGTGTCAAGGCCAAAAAGCTCAAATAGTTCAATTTAATGTACATTTAATCCTAAATGTTTTTTAACTAAAAAAAGTTTATGTATGTGTATGTGCCCCAGGATGTTTGCGGGTACACATGTGTGCCATGGAATGCATGTGGAGGCCAGAGAACAACTTTGTGGGATCAGTGCTATCCACCTTTGTGGGGACTCTGGAGCTCAAACATAGGTCTCCAGATTTGGATGGCAAGCACCTTTCTGCTTTGAGCCATGGTACTGGCCCCCTACATGTTTTGGTTAGTAACAATTCCAATCTGGAGCACGAGCTTGTATGAAAGTGACTGTCATCCCCAGCCATACAAATATGACTCATCTGTTCTAAGGAGTCAACTTCTAGTCAAAAAGGTCCTGACACACTGATGAGATTTAGCCA